AGAAAGGAGAGTAAAAGAATGGGTGTTGGGAGAAAGGTGGGGTGGGGAAGATAAAAGGAGGAGAGAAAAGATGCAGTGGAAGGTGGGGAGAAGAGAAGGGGTGAGTAAGAGGAGAGAGGAGAGGTAGGGAGAGTGGGTTAGTAGAGGAAGGGGGGAAAAAGGGAGTGATACCTGGCCCTTGGTGTCTCCAAGGGCACAAGGTACACCAAGACCAGGAGGGTCTTGGTCTTCGCTGCAGCAGCCAGTTGGAGGAGAGAGGGGGCTGAGATCTTGATCAGCCCCCAGCAGCACTTCTGCAGATGTGCAGATGTAGGGTCTGTTGTGTGAGCAGACCCTCACCACTGTAGAGCAGCCCCCTTGAGCAGAGGGGTCTTCAGTTCACAGTAGCTGCCACGTGGCACGGCAGCAACATCCACGGCGGGGGGGGTAAATACCAGCTTGCTGTTGCTGGGCTGCTGACCGGTGCTCGCTGCCGGGGGGGGGGTAAATAGCCAACACGGCACCTCTTCAACACGAGTGTGCCGTGCTACAATACCATGTATACTCTGTGGCGAGTGTGTTAGTAGGGTGCTCACGCACGCGCATGGCCCGACAACCACCTGGGTTCAAACCCCAGCAGCAGCAAGACCCCCGGATTTTGATAATATAAATCCGGGAGCGTGGCAGCGGGGGCACGTGGCGCGCACGCACGTGCGGCGGCCTTGGCCTTGGCGCCTGCGCGCACGTGCTCGTGGTGGCGCCTCCCTTTTTCGCCACGTGTCACCTGCAGCGGACGCCACCTTTTTTCCCTTCGTTTTCGCTGCAAAACGGCCGAAAAACACCGAAAAAAACCGTTGTCGGGTTTGCTGTATTCTCGACTGTGCGGACTGCAAGACAACTGTATGGGATGGTGGGTGGGAGCGGGAACCGTTCCCTCTCCGATACCAATGTAGCGGACCCACCAGGTGTGGTGCTCCGCCAGCGATAAAGATGAAGATGGAGGGAGAAGGGGGGAGCGAGATGGCACAACGCAGCTCCCCACGCAAGACTCCAACGCACGTACTACAAAATGTGCAAGTGAAGAATGAGACTGAAAACAGACAATGGCTGGGGTATACCCCAACGGACTGACGGAACTGGCTGGTACCGACAGACGTACCGGCCTGGACTGGCTTACCCCGAATATAACACAGGCCTGTGAGAACAGGCTAAGGGCTGGTCTCACAGACCAACCCGAGGTCCGCTACACACAAGCAATACAACCTTCCTCCCATCCTTCCCCCCAGACGCAACCCCACAATCTGCTTTCAGTCAGACAAAGAATCTGAAACTAACATTGCGCATACATTCCTTTACTTAGTTTGACTTGTCATGAAAGTCAAACCAAAAATCAAAGTAGGGATGCACACAGTATACTCAGTCGAAACATAACAAGGAATACAGATAGGGGT